CCGAGAAGGCTCGCGGCCTTGTATTTATAGGGCGAGAAGTCCGAAGATCAGCGGCTGCTGAGAGGACTCCACGCGTCAGCAGATGCGAGGATCGGATTGCGAGAAGGGTGAGTCAGCGAAGGCATGGTGGCAGCGATGGGAGGGGCGCGCGTCTGAAGCTCGCAGGCGAGACGTGGCCTCGCTACGGACAACGCCACGTTGCGACCACGCGTATATTTCTACCGGACCACTTTGGACCGCATCAGCCTCGTACACGGGGCAGGTGACTCACCGAGATCAGATTTATCCATGCGAAATTTCTCGGATATTGGGATTTTTCTCGATTTTTGTGCCCCAAACTTCTAAAATCCATAACTTTCGCATACGAGCTCCGTTTTTGACGTTCTTTATATGCACGCATAGGTAAAATTACGCTCTACAACTTTTGTTTAGACTTAGTTGGCTAATTTTGAATTTAATTTTAATATTATTATTTTTAACAGACCGGACAGGAAATCCGTTATAAATTCATAACTTCTTCATCCGACGTCCGTTTTCGTCTGTGTTTTTACCGTTGTACTACTATTGACGAGACCTTCGATTCTCGTTTAGGTTGTGTCGGCTAAAAATCACTCGATCTAAAATTCGAGTTTTTAGCTGTCTACTGTTAAGCTGAAACTTAGAAAAATCATAACTTTCTCATACGAAGTCAGATTTTGACGTTCTTTTTATACATACTCTCGGTTTAACGAACACTACGACTTTCGTTTAGATCACTAAGGCTAAAAAGTAGTTTATCAAAAACTCACTTTTTACGTCATTCGGCACCGTGCCGGTTTTGTCGCGAAACTTCGACAGGTCATAACTTCTTCGTTATAACTCGGATTTCGGTATTCTTTATATATCCGGAATCCTTTTCACAACCACTACAACTTTCTTAATAGATATCGGCTTTATCTAATATTCATTTTCGACGCTCATTTTTATTCTTAATTAATTAATCCTAATAATAAGCATAAAACACATAATTCACATAATAATCACATAATTCCTCTTCATTTCTTCAAAATGAGTTACAAAGGTTAACCTAGACTATTATGTCAATATTAATGCCTAGCCTAGAAGCACGGGCGTTACAACATCCTTTCTCCATCTTTTCAAAATGTACCTTTCAGGAATTTCTTTAACACTACATCTCATCATTATTGTAAAAAACATGTCTGCATAAAACACCCATACGCTTAAAATGTTCACAACTGCAATTTATTTCTTTCTCTTCAGCTTTTATTTCAACCTGATACAAAAACAAAATTTACACATTTACATTCATATAAGAATATTCATATCAACACTCGTATATTCATATATTCATATATGAAAATATGAATATTCATATATTCATATATGCATATGAGAATATTCATATATGAATATTCATATATTCATATATGAATATTCTCATATTCATATATGAATATTATTACATTTTTCATAAAAAACTAGTAAATTACCTTAAATTCATTTTTAAATTCGCTTTTACTGTTGTGTGCTGCACATGTAAACTTCCCAACCATCTTCAATACCAACATATGAGTATGTACAGAAAAAACATGCTTTATATATTTCTTTTTGCACCTCAAAAATATAGACTTGTATAACCTTTGATGCTTGCAGTTTCTATTTCTCGAGGTGTTTTGCATTTTATATGATGCTTTCTTTGATGCCTTATCAAGCCTCTGGAGTATTCCTTTGCTTTTGAATGGCAGTGTCGTAATTCATCATGAACTTCAAAAGTTAGTTCCCACTTTCTGAGTATGTATTAAAGAATGATTCATACTCTCTGACTCGACGTAGTCTTCATCAAACCATACATTGGAATATCACTAAATATCCAGGGCCATGACTCACGTATTGTAACATGCCTTTAAACCCATCTTGTGTCTTCAAGATTTAATTCCTTCATAAGCAAACCCCACTTCACCTCAAAAACATCAGGTTTCATATTAATGTCCCAAACAAGCTTCGAAAACCTTTTTCTAAAGTCTGTGTTCGTAAATAAATCATCTGATATATGTATTAAAACAAAAATATTCATAAATGAATAAATAAGAATAAGTAAAATAACAATCAATATTCATTATATCAAAATAATACCTTTTTTTTCAACTTTTTCATTATATGCCACATACATAATCGGTGCTTTGAATTAGGAAACACATTCTCAACAGCTTGTTTTATTGCAGCATCTTGATCGGTTAAAACAAGTGTTGGTTCTTTCCCATGAGTTTAAGAAATGCTTTAAGCAACCAAGAGTAAGACTCAATGCTTTCATTGCTTAGCAACCCCGATCCAACAGTACCGATTTTTTATGATGGTTAATAGCAGTAAATGGAACAAAAACCATTCGATACCTAACACAAAAAATGTTCATTAAAGTCAATTTTGATGTATTCATAAGTGAATAAAAATATTCATCTATGAATACAGCTACAATATTTCAACAATAAAAACTGAACATTAAACATAAAGTTAAAAATATTCATATATGAATAAGATATAAAAAAAAGTAGATAGAATAATTTACTTGTTTGTTCGGAAAGTCGCATCAAACGATATACCATCACAAAATTCAGCATAATATGCATTCTCCATTTCATCAGCCCAAAACATACAGTCCAAAACATCGTCTTGACAATTAAACTCAAATGAGTAATTTGGATAGTGAGCTCGACGGTCATTCATTGTGTTTACTACATCATTTGGGCATCTTTATAACCAATAACTCTGTTGATATCTCTCCTTAAATTTTTATAGTAAACTACTTTGGGCTTTACAAACTCATACCCACCTCTCATACTTGCCCTCAACTTATGAGCCATAGTTGGACCTATTTTTGATGTGGAAGCACGCACAATAAACTCTTTTTCTGAATATGACATTTGCCTCGCTTTTTTTTAAATCGCTTCTCTTCTCAAGTGGATGGTTGTGAAGTTCATCAAACTGAAAAACTTTATAATCTGGAGTTCCATACACAGATTCAAATATAATCTTTGCTTGACAACCAATAGCTCTTGAATTTGAATTCGTTTCCTCCTACACTACTTTGTACCCAATGTGTCACAAGATTTCTTTTCTGTTTGCCACCACGATTACATATAACATGTTTTCTTCTTAAAATCTTGTTATCAAACCTTGACTGCGTGCTCAGTCTAACATCAAAACTACCAATTTCAGCATACTCAAAATACATTTTGATAGCCAACTTTAATGATTTGAAGATTAAACCCTTAAATGGAATAAGTTGAACAGGTACATCTGACTTATAGACATGTTCTCCAATTATATCATCACAATATTGCACATCATGAACTGAACTCGAAGATTCACCACCTAAAAAATTATAAATCTAAATAAATATAATAATGCATGAATAAAACAATAATATATGAATAAAACAAATCATATATGAATACATAAAACTCATATGAATAAAACAAAAAACATTCATATATGAATACATAAAATTCATGAGCATTCAAATATATAAAATAACATAACTTATTCATATATGATAAAACGAAAAATATAAAAAATTCGAAATTACAATTATCACACGTTTATTCATATATGAATAAGACAACAATTTATTAAATGATAATCAACAAAATTAAAAAATCAATAACTGATACCTTCAAAAAATGAGTTCTCAACATCTTCTTCTTCACTCTCACTCATAGAAGAATACAAATCACCATCAATAACACTAGAATTCGACATAATAAACCAAATGATCTGTATAAATAAACAAAAACAATCTTAATATCGAATATATCTCACAAAAAAGTCGTAAAGATGAAAACCTAGTTAATTTCGAATATATCTCACCTCAACGTACAAAATATCTAAAAGAAACTTAAATCAGATCGATCAGATGATGTAATTAAGCAATCTCTCTTAGTTCAGAGCATAAAAACTACAACGATATATCCGATTAAAAATTAAATCAGCTCCGATTCGAAATAAATATCTCAAACATAACAAAAATCCGATGAAATAACTCCAATACATATTCGAAACTTGATAATCTTGATAATGAACTCCGATTAACAACTCCAAAACGAATAATACGCGTAATTCCAAACAAATTATATAACAATATCTTGATAATGAACTCCGATTTATCCGAATCAAACCATATACATACCTGATCAAATTGGAAACTGGATACGAAGAAGAAAACTGAAACATAGATGCGAAACTTCACGATTAATGGAAAAATACATATAATTGCTAACGAGTTATATAAAGAAAAGAATCTTCATAATGAATTCCTCATATCCGATTCAAACGAGCTAAAGATATCATCAAATTGAAAACTGATAACAACAACGAACAGATAAGTTCTATGTAAAAAAGTTGCTAATTTACAAAGATACCCTTAATAAAAAAGGGACACGTGCTTTTTTTTAAGGTGAACATGTTAGATAAACGATTGGCTGAGAATGATTCCCCCATTCTCAACCTTTTATTTTTTTTCTCAATTGAACTTACATCTCTCTCTCTCTCTCTAATATATATATATATATATATATATATATATATATATATATTACGGTTTTATAAACATTTTTGCTATTAATGTAGATAATTTGTTTATGCTTAGTCCATACATATAAAACACATAAAACCTGCAAATGATGAAGATGAAGCACATTTTATATATATATAAAAAATATTTTTTGTTAGTTTTACTAGATCAAATCATATGGTTAAAAGTTAAAGTGCAATAACCAAATAAGAAGAAAAACGTCCACCACCAATCCACACAGAAAACCTGCAAATCACAGGGGCAATAACAAAACCGAAACAAAAAAAAACCCCTAATCTAAATCCAACCCTTAAATCAGGTCATCTGTGCTATTGAATGAAAAGCAAATCAAAATTAAAAACCCATAATTCAGAAATCATGAACAAAAAACACATCAGGAACAAAAATCCCTACCTAATCTAAATTCGTTAATATGTGTCTACAGTCAAAAACCCTACCCGAAGGGAAGAAAGAAAAAAGAAGCCTCTTTTACCCTCCTAAAGTTTATCCTAAGCATAATCAAAAGCAAAGCAAAGACAGTAAGGAGAGAAAAGAAGAGAAAAGAAAGGAAAAGAAATATGCATTTTGTGTTCCCGAGTTTGAGAGAATTGAGATGAAAATGAATCATTTTGTTCTTTCTCCCAAAAATTTTCCAAATCGGAAGGAAAGTTAGGAGGGAAAATGAATTATTTTGTTATTTCTCCTAAAATTTACTTTCTTCCTACTTCCACCAATTTTCTTTCCTTTTCCTCTTTAAGAGCATTGAGTATGTGCAAATAACTAGTTATAACACCATTTTGGTGTCACTTCAAATGCCACATCACCAATGGTGTTATAACACCAAATGGGGAAATGGTCACCATGTTAAGAGCATGTTATAACACCAACTTTTTTCCATTTTGTTATTTCTTTTTTATTTTTTTTCCGGATTTATTTTTGTTGTTTAAAAAAAATATTTTAAATAAAACATAATATATAAATAAAATATATTTTTTTAAAACATAATATTAAAAAAACAAAAAAAGGCATAATTTTTAATAACTAAAATTAAGATTACAATAAAAACAACATTAATTTTAAAAGACAACATTAATTAAACCTAATACATTACATTTTACTACGATGTAGGAGTTTTAATCCAAATTGGATCAAATCACACCAACTCCTACACTTTCTTGAACTCAAACATATGTCCCATCTCGACCCGATATTGTTCTTTTGCAGCTTTGAACAAATCAAAGTCGTTGGTTCCGCTTTGTTGTTGCGCCTTAAGCCGGTTGTAAATACCATTGAATTTTGTGCACCTCTTGCTAATTTGAATCCATTTGCTACTAAGCATGTCTGTATTGCGATATGTTTTTTTCTTCAATATAGTGTGAAATTTTTTGCACACCGTCTCCCAATAAGCACATTTCTTCATCCTATTTCCGCGACATTCGTCTTTTGAAGTAGTATCACACCACGCTTGCGCCAAAGCATTTTCTTCATCCGGTGTCCACCAATGTAGAGCTTCCTCATTTTCCATGTCAACCGCTATAGCTTTCCCTCTCCCTCCCGTTTGCGTTTCAACAAATGGTTGTGTTAGAGGTGGTGGTTGTGTGTTTGAGTTTTGGTTAGGTGGAGGGGTGTTTGGATTTTGCTCTATTTTTTGTTGTTGAAATAGAAGTAGATTTTATAAAATATAGAAAAAAGAATGAAAATGTGTATAAAATGTATGAGAATGAAATGTATTTATAATTAGAATTTTTTTTTATTTAATCAAGTGATCGTTGTCAACGGACGAGGCCTAACGTTCAAAATTTTGGGCGTTTCATACTTTCATCTGGTGATAACGGCAACAAGATGCAACAATAACGAGATATAACGAGAACGGGGGGCGGTGTTCTCCCGTTATAACGCCGTTTCGGTTGATCCACGTCGGCAATATCATCGTTTTTTGGCCCATACCACATAGTGTAAGTTGAACTTGTGAGGAGGCGTGAGGAAGAAAAGGAGGAGGAGGCGTCTAGAAGAAACGAGACGTGAACATTAGATCCCTAGGAAGATAATATAGGGCTATTGATTTGGGAAATATTTTTTTTAAAAATACACCTTTTTTTTTTTGTCAAAAACTCTGGTTTGTACCGGTCAAGAAAAAAAGTGCGCCGTTCCGTCCTTCCCCCTCATACGTACGCCTCCATCAAACACCACCCTCCTTCACTACATCATCCCTCCCGTCTCCTCCGACCTCCGACCAACTCCAGCGCCGACCACCTCCTCCCATCGTCGGCTTTGCACAGCACCGCCGCCCCCATCGTCTACCTCGCACATTTCCCACGCTTTCTGATATCACTCCCACCTCCCTGAAATCGACTCCCACCACCTAGGGCAGACATCCGACGCCAAGCTCCGCCAGCGCTGATCTCCGCTCTCGACAACGCCGGTCTCCACCCTTGCGACCTCCGATCTCCTCCATACTTCAGGTACGAAATTGCTACAAAAATCTAATATCTGCTTGTTGTTTCCAAAAGTTGGTGCCTCTTTTGAACTGATTAACATCTAAAAATCTCAGATTTTCAAGCAAGTAAATTTTAAAATGGTTTGTTGTTAAAGAAATTTTGGGATTAACTATTTGTTGTGGGTTCCTATACAACAACATTGAGCACGCCAAGTGTTTGGGCAATTGGTAAATTGCCCAAGAGAATCTTAAAGCACTAGATAAATCCCATAGTTATACTTATACTTCAGTTCAGTTTAATGTGTTTACAGTTTACTTATGCCAACAGTTATTCAATGTACATGTACACATGAATCCTAATCAATTCTGTTTGGTAGCTCATATGAATCCTAATCAATTCTAATTGGTGTTTTGACTACTCTGTTACTCTTTTTATAAAAAGGGCATCACAACCTTCAGCCATACACCTTTCTAGTTTTACTTTTTGCAGCCAGAAACTACTGCTGTCGTAAAGCTTCACTACAAACAAGTGTTCTTTACTGTAAATTATAGATATAAGTCTTACCTTTTAGGCTTTTACATACAGTTGGTGAAATTCGTATTATCTACACATCTTTTAAAGAATGTGGGGGTATAATAGAAGTCGTATTTTTATACCAAGGTTTTGGTCTTAGCTTCACTTATTAAGTATGGTTATAGTTTCTTGAAGAAAAAAAAACGAGCCACTCTTGAATTCAGTACCTCACAAGTCATATGTTTGACTTTTTAATTGTTGTTCTATTTTATGTGTTTGAGAAACATCTGATAGACACTTATGTTAAAATTTGAAAAGATGAACAGTAACACTCCATAATGCATTGACAAATTTTAAGCTTTTATCCAGATTCCCTTCAAGTTCCTACCTCAACGCATTGACAAAACAGACATTATTGCCTGTGTGTATGTATTGTAAGCACATGAGAACATAAAATATTGATTGTCTGTATGTATTCTTAAACCATAATAATAGTTAAGGGTTTTTGGAACAAATGGATAATTAATTATACAAAGGGTTGTTGGTTGTATGATGTATCCATTGCTTTTTATGTTTTTTTTATCAGTTTTCTTTTTGCAGACTGCAGACTTTAAAAAACAAACATTTTATGGTCTACATCTTCTTCTGCAGACGTGGAACACGACTGCATGCATTTTACCTCTTCAAAAACAAACATCACCTAAGCGATTTTTATAAATGTCTTTCTATATGTGGATTAATTAATAACTATAGCTGATAAATCCTAGGTAGCTTGTAATTTTGTTTTGGTTATAAAATGCTATCTCATCTTGCTTTAGGCTTTTGTTGCCTTAGACTACCAGTGCTACTCAATTTGTTGTTAGTTTTATCTGGTTTAGAGGATTTGGGTTTTGTTTGAAATTTTTTAATTTGGAGTTTGTTGGATTTATAATTGACTTATATCTTTATGAAAATAGTTCAATCGTGGGTTTATCTGAAGTAGGTCTAGTTCCCATAATTCAAACTAACTCTGTTTGTTTTCGTTCAGTGCTTGAGTAGAAGATTCTGAAAATTTCCACAGAAGTCTCTATTTATCTATGATACTAAACATCTCTGTAACGAATAGTTTCAAAAAATTATGTGTTATTGCACATACATGCTTCTAAACTTGATAACCAAAAAATCCAGTAAAGTATGAAATTTAGCCTTGGTATCATTGTTTAAGATTATTGAAAAAAATTCATCACGTATTCATGTTTTTGGTTTCTGTTATTTTTTCACAGTTTCACATAATCATAGTTCCTTTCATTTATCAAATTGATCATGTAATTGTCGACTCATGATTCTTTATAACTTGTAAGAATCTATGAGTGTGACAATTGTGAATTTCTAGGTTTGTAACAATGTATGGGCACACAGATTCACTCCTTATTTTACCAAATTGATCATTAAACTGTTTGAGGGACTGAGTCTTGAGTATTGATTTTTTTTTTTATAACTGAATTTTTGATTCTGTAAATGAGTTTATGAATTTCCAATTTTGTAAATGTATTTTGACTTTCTGACTTTGCAGTTGAAATGTTGAAGTTTATGAGAATTTCTGATTTCTGACTTTGTATTTCAATTTATGAGAATTCTGAATTTCCGACCTTGTATCTGATTTCAGGCTTTGTATTGGATTTCTTAGTTCTGACTTTGACTTTGATTTGTGATTTTGTATTTGATTTCTGTTTTATTTTGTACTTTATAATTAAAATGATCAAGTATTTGACATATCATCATGGTTTGTTTGGTTATATATTGATTATAATTGCTATAATAGCTGTAGGTAATGAATATTAATATAACAATTGAAGCATTAAAGTTTTGGGGCACATAATCACACTTCAGTTGGTTCTCTTCTAAGGGATGTTCTTATATAACAATTGAACCATTTAGTCTTGTATATATATTGGTAGATTTAGGACAAAACGAATCAGATTCTTAACAGTGATGATGAGAGAAGTTATCATCCCCATTGAAGATACAAACACCACTACAAACAATATCCAAATTCTATAAGGACATGGGGTAAGTGGATGTTAGACGCATGAATAAAAAGGGTATACGATTTAATCGCCAATACAGTGAATATATCTATTAGTAATAAAATACATAAATAAGAAGATTGGTCTTAAAATTGTGTGGTGACACCCATTATGTATAGTAATCATGTAGATTGCTAAAATTTCTAATAATCTATGTTATATGATGGTTGACATAATGATGTTTCTTCCTCGATATATGGGGGAAATATGTTATCCTGTTGTGAAAAAAAAATAAAAAAAAATTAGGGGTGTCACACTACACAAAGTAAGTATTAAGGAAGGTGCCTAGAGCAAAGTTCCATGTTATAAAGGTGTACAAAGTGTAAAGTGTGCATTGATGGGTTGTACCTTGTACATCAAATGGATTCAAGGCATATAAAGTCCTTAGAAAGTGACATATGATGAATAAAAGTATTGTGTAATGCTTGATGGATTAAAGAGGAATTAGCAGATGGAAATCTGCTCATCGTTATAAATGTACGTAATTGGTGCTATATTTTGGTGTTTCTGATGATGAAAATGTGTTTATTGATACACAACTGTGTGACAATGAAAGAAACATTATAAAATTCATCAGTTTGTCCTTAGGTACCTACCCCTATGTGAGTGAAGTTATAGATGAAGTTGCTATTACCACTGAAGATGTGAATGTATATTCTAAATTCTAATCTTGTGTTGTTCTTAAGAATTTGTGCCACAAGGCTAAACTATGTGAGCAAAGTTAGAAGATGAAGATGGCTCTATGTGTACATCTTGAAACATAATTGGTATTTGGTATGCATGCCAAATGCTTGTTTTGACTGAAATACCCCTGTCCATTAGAACTAAAAAGTTACTTCTCATTTAGGCCATTGCAAATATCATAAACCTACCTGTCTGCCACCTCCAACCACCACCACACCACTTCCCTGAAACATGATAAACTTTCAAGTAATCACAAATTTGAACAATCTTGAGGAAGTACTTTGTTTGGTTCATTGGCAGTTTTTGATATTTCCGGGTGTATTTTGGTCAAAAACACGTAATGATCATTTCTAGTTTGTAATGGCCAGGGGTATTTTCGTCAAAACACACTCTTTTCTGCTTGAACTTGCATTCTTGCAAGAAGTTGGGTTTATGGTATGGGTAGATGAAATCCAAATGCCTATTGGTGCAAAAAACATAGTTTTTAGTTATATTCTTCAAATTAATTTACAATGTCATTGTTTTATTTCAAGTACTTTTAAATGCCAAATTTATTCGTTCTCTGTAATATATGTTTTATCTAATCAATATCCAAAATGAAAACCAATAGGTTATTCACTAATATATCATTTTGATTAAAATATTATTATCATCGACTCAATAAAATCAAGTTTATGTATGTTTAACAGATTAAAAATGGATGATACAATGAAGAAATTTCAAGGAAAGCTGATTGAGATCGAGACTGAAGCAGAGGAACTTTTACTTGCAAGGCACCAGGTAAAATGACTATTTTGGCTGGGGTAAATTACAAATTTGGTCCCTATGTAAAATGACTATTTTGCCCCTTACCGATGACAGTTAGTCGAGAATGACAGATTGAGAAATGGGAACAGGGAAGCATTGACTGCACTAAGGAAAAGAGCCCGAACAACAAAAACAAGTGTCCCTTCACCATTTGAGTTATTGATGAAGGAAGTTGACCAGTCAAAGCCTCTGGTTAAAGAGATATGTGCAACTTGTGGGAATCATGACTCTAATGACAAAACATGGATGATGTTCCCAGGAACTGATATATTTGCTCGGGTCCCATTTCATGCAGCTCATACTATCTTGGAGAAAGGTAACTTGGTTTTCACTGCATTTCCTCAAATGATGTTTTCCTATTTTGCCCTTACTCTTTGATTAGGGGGTGTTTGGGATTGCTTTTCTAGAACAACTTATGCTTATTTGTAAAAGTTGCATCATTTAATAAAGATTGAAAGTAACAACCCAATCTCCTCTTAATATCTTCATCTTGCAAGCTGTCATCCTTAATGTATTATTATGTTATAAAGATTTCACAAATTTTATAGATACTAAGTGGCATCACAATTTTTTTTTTTTTTTTTTTTAAATATATATTGACTTGAGGTATCGTTTAACAAGTGGCATGCATGTTCTTGTAGAAGATGTGCTCCCTTTAGTACACACCTTGAAGAGTGTCATGGCCCATTTATTTAACTTATATTCTTTTTAGTTTTTACCCTTAGCAATTTAAATTTTAGATGTATCGCTTTCTTTACCAAATATAGAAAATGGCCCACAAAAAAAATTACATCACAAAGACTAGTAGGTATCATCAATAATATAATTTGGATTCATTAAAGACTAGTCTTATCGATGCTTTCTGTCTATAGTACAATTTTATGGTATCCGAGATGTTTTTATGTATTCAATATTTATTTGATCATTATTCAAAATTAATATAATTGTTAATGTAGATCAAACGAAGCTAGATTTTGATGTTAAAAAACTACAAAGTTATGTAAAGGAGAAGTCGCTCTTCATATCAGAACAAGGTGTTCTTGCTGATAAGATTGGACCAGGGGTATTAAAGTCATTAGTCACATTACAAGATAAACCAAGGTAAGTTCTCAAATTGTTTTCTATTTTTTTTCTTGAAACCTTATATATCAATTGTATTTGGGTTTTAATGTGTTTTTTTTTATGTTTGATTTTTTGTGTTTGTAAATGAAATATCGTTAATAGTATATTATAATATGTATAAAGTAGAGTTGATTCCATTCCTACATGTAAATCAAACGTGTGATAAATTTATATGAAATTTCATGTTGTTTGTACTTTTCAGGTGAATTTGTTGATTCAACAACCTTTTGCAGAAGAAAGAAAATGATCACAAACAAACAAGTGAAAAGAAGTAACAAAACTGAATGGTTATGATTCTTTTCTACATATTGGAATTATGTATCAATTAATGAAAAAACGCTTTTTTTGCTCATGCTTGAAAAAAAGAATTAAAGATTTGTGATGTTTATTTCTATGCTAACTAAATTCAACCGGTTCTTGCTATGGGTCAAATAGTCCATTGAATATAACTCATTAATTAGTATAACATTAATGTTTCTTGTTATGGTTTTTGGGTTTATATTCTATTTTTAGAAACATCTTGAATAATTGTTATTTATAGACACACAAAAATAACTAGATATTTAAGAATTTAAAAAGTTTGTAGCCAAATACATTTGAGGTTTTTACAATTGTCAGGTATATTCGAGATTACCCAGAATAATTGTTATTTGTTAATTTAGAGTAAATAACTAGCTTTTAGCTTTTAGCTTTCAGTTATCAGTTATTTTATCTAAACATGCCTTTAGTAATTACGCACATTGCTTGGCATATGTGTACTATTAATGAGTAAGACATTTGGTTCCACATAAGGACATGAAATGAGACTAAAGGCAAGAGTTTGTATGCTAATATTGGGTCATAGATGTACTTATGTATAAACATGTTATCATGATAATGTTCTAAGATCATGAGTTTCAGTTAGATGTACTTACGAGCCATATGACAACGGTTCATATAATTCTCAGACATATGCAATGTCACATCTTGGAATCTTTGTGGCTCCATAATTAAAGTGTCATATGTTGACAAAACATGTAACTTTTTGAGGTTCCATATCAATTGGAAAATTGACCACAACATTAACATGGCAAACATTTTTTCATGTATTCTTTGTACAAAATTTCTCGTTTAAAAGCTTCAAACACAAGCGCTTGTAGAGTGGTGTGAATTGTAACAATAACATATGATAGGGAAAATAGTATGTATTCGTTGTACAAAAGAACTTTAATCACAAGACCTTTAAAGTGGATTGATATACTCATATACTATTCTTATATTTGTTATCTATTAACAAGATACTTCAAAAGCATACATCTCATGTTTATTAGTATTGCCCTTTTGTCAAGCTATGTTGACCTACGACACCGTAGATTCTTAAAATGGTTATTGAATTGAATGTTGGATCAACGTCTTTCTTGAGAGCAAGTATTATTGTATTAAAGCCACATATCTTTGCTCACTAGTTGCTTTGCTTTAGGCATGTGGAGTGGTCACCACCAACCCACCGGAAAAGTGGTGCCACCTTTGCGCCACGTCACCTTCACCACCAACCCACTCCACATAGGAAATGGTCATCACTAACAACATTCATTTTTTTTTTATTTTTTTATTTTTTAACATTATATTAAATAAATAACATAATTTATAAAATACATAACTTTTTTCTTATCTTTTATGACTAAATTAGATAAAAACATAATTTATAATATAATAAAATATTTTATATTAATTAAAACCACGTTACATAATTTAAAACATAGAAAATTAAACCTAAATTACTAGAAAAACATAAAAACACATAGATGCATATTTTTTAGATTGTCAAATACGCCGTTGATAAAATGTTGAAATCGTTGCTACCACTTCGATGCATATTTTTTAGATTGTCAAATACGCCGTTAAATTTGGTACAAACCGCTCTAAGGTCACGCCATTTAGCCTTGACTGAGTCGTATGTCTGGCTCGTTTGTCTTCCTAATAACTCGTGGAAGTGGTCTAAAACACGATTCCAAAAGCTTTGTCCCGATTGCCCGTTGCCCGACACCCCCGTCTTGTGATATGAAAATCCAAGCTTTAGCTAAAGCTGCCTCCTCCTCCTCGGTCCATTGGGTATTTTTCTTTTTTGTTGAATCTTTTGATTTTTTTTGCCTTCTACGACTTGGTTGTGTTTCTTGAACCCGTTCGTCGTCGTCTTCAATGTCGAGGTTTACGGGTTGAGATTGAGATAATGGAACTTGAGATGGTTGTGAACTTTGTTGACGTTGGAAAGTTTGAGGCTGAAATTGCGGAGGAGGTTGTTGTTGAAAGGGTTAAAATTGGGATTGAACAAGTGGTGGTGGTTGTTGTTGGTAGTAGTGTGGGTGATATGAAAGATTGGTGAATAGAGGTTGTTGTGCAACGGGGGATGATAACAATTGCATGTAGCCAATATTTGCTAGCGGATCATTTGGAGTGTTTGGGGTGTTCGGGGTTGGTGGTGTATTTTGGTTTGGATCCATGGAGGAAAGAACAATTTTTTGGTAGTGTATATGTTTGTGTTCAAAAGTTGTGGTGTGTGTGTTTGAAATGAGAAAAAAATGGTGATATATATAGAGAATGTATGGTAAATAAATAAATAAATAATTAATTTTTTTTATAAACGATCAAATGCAGCAACGGTCAAAAAAGTGGAGTAGCCAATCAAATCACGTGTCTTCTCTCGTCTCCGTGAAGACGCCAAGCCCAACCCACCGGAGTTGGGGGCGGTGTTCACGCGTCTTGGAGGCTGACATGTTGGCCTCCACGCGTGTTCCAGCCTCCCACTCCGGGCAGCCTTATGTATATACCTTATAAGGTGATATGGGGCTTCAAGTGTAACATCCTATTTATAGGGTTAGCCCATTTTAAGTATTAATGTTGCATTTTATGGTAGATGGGTAGTTATTTGACATAACAAACGAATAGGAAATATATATGTAGTATGTTAGAACTCATTTATAATGAGTTATTATTGATTTTAGGTTTTGGTATATTTAATCTAGAAAAAACAAGTGTGGTTATTTGTGAGTTCGTTTGTAGAATTACTTTTAGAACATATTTTGAAGGAAATATATGTATGTAGATATATTGAAATATGCCATGATACGTAGAAATAAATGGTGGGCTAATGGACTTAATATAAGGTGTTTATCTAGTGTGTTAGATATTAATGTGGACGTAGGATACAAAAACATGAATTTTATCATGGTTCATGCCAATAAATGGCAAGTAGCGGTTAATTTTTTATTCTTTGGTCACTAAACTTCTAAATATTCAGAATAAAAAATACTCATGCGAGAATAATATCAACATGGAAGACCCTTCGGGATATGGGTGAGCATGGTGCGGTTTTCGTGCCAAACCGAACCACAAACCGCATGGTGCGGTTTCTGTAGGGTAAAAACCGATAGGTGCGGTTTTTGTTTTGGTGCGGTTTTGCGGTTTTACATGCGGTTTCGGTTCCATTCGGTGAGGTTTCGGTTTTTAACCAAAAAATGTGTTGGTTCGGTTTTGTGGTTAAAAAGGTACGGTTTAAATGTAGAATTTTGTGGACTTTATTTTATTTTCATATTTTTGTTACAAATAATCATCATTTTGACCAATTTAAACGTATTTAATATGCCTATGAAATAGTTTTATGTTATTTTGTAAATTCCGATCGAAATATATATAGTTATTTATGATATTAGGATTTTGAGGCCTGTATTATATGTTGTCTTGCAAAGGATTTGATTTTATAATCTGAAATTGCATTGCTCAGTTAATCATTATTGTTTATATAAAAATGTGTCTTTTGATTTGAATTGCATTATGCTTGTCATAAGCAAAATGAAAAATGTTAATGGTATGCAATTAATACAAATGCTCAAACTGCAAAGCAAAATGAAAGTAGTCTTTGAGTGTCTGCGGGCACCTCATGCTCAGGATTTTCTATTAACTATCCCTATTGATGGTCTTGGCCAGCATATGTCTCATGTGGAGTACCGAACTATCCTTCGTTACCGCCTCATGATTCCCCTATTCCCAATTGACGAGATATGCCCAGTTTGCTGCAAGGCATGTTTGGATACCTTTGGGGAACACGCGGTTCATTGTAGAGAGCTCCCTGGTTTCAAGTACAGACATGATGTGGTTCGGGATGTTCTCTTTGATGCTTGTCTGCGTGCTGATATTTCTGTGAAGAAAGAAGCGCCAGTGAACTTTTTGACGGACCCGCAAGATGAAATGTTCACACTTAAAACGACTGACATTTTGGTCTTTGGATGGATAGGAGGGAAGCATGCGTGCGTGGATCTTACTGGGGTCTCTCCTCTCGTTGGTTTGGGGAGCGGGGGTTTCACAGCAGGGCATGCCGCTTTGAAAGCCGCTGCGTGCAAAGTGGTAAAGCACAAGAATGCATGTATAGAAAATCAACATGTGTTTGTACCTTTTGCATTCGATACATTTGGTTTTCTCGCACCAGAGGCGGTGGAGCTCCTCAATAGAGTCCAACGGGTCATGCATTCTAATGTCATATCTCCTAGATCCACAAATGTTGTTTTCAAAAGAATTGGTTTTGCCATCCAAAAAGGGCTAGCGGCGCAGCTTGTTGCCCGTTTGCCTTCAATCGATATGTATTGAACTATTATAATTAAGATGCAGACAATCTGTTTGATCATAAAAAAAACTAGCAATGCATAGTGGATAAGAACAAACGATTGTTTAACAAAATATCCTTTTATTATATATATATATATATATATATATATATATATATATATATATATATATATATATATATATATATATAATAGATTAAGTACTGCGGTTTTTCGGTTTTTATGGCGCATCATCGGTTTTATATTCGGTTTCGGTTTTACGGTCTCGGTTTTTCGGTTTGCGGTTCGGTTTTTGCTCACCCCTGCTTCGAGAAGTACTCATTCCTAGTTGCATAGAAAGAACAACACCATGATATGTGTTTCTGTGATGCTATAAGTGATTAAGTGGTACCAAACACCAACGTATACCTCAAAACTTCTTGTTATATCTTATTTTTATAGCAACTATATTTGTATGTTTGTTTTTCAAAATTATAACCAAAGTTGTCTTCATGAAGATAGAAAGAACGAACATAAAGATAAAGGTTAAATAAAATTTCTAACGAAACCAAGATTTATAATTAAATAAATAAATATTAATGTATAAATAACAAAATAATAAATAAATAATAAAATAAATTAACTTTTGATGTGGATGACATGAACGACACATATAGACATTATGAGATGCCTAGTTAACATTAAAAGGCTAGAATATATAAAAAAAATAAGTCCACCCTTCTCATACTTCCAACTTAGATTGTCTCTAATGATTGTATTATATTATCATTTAAAATAAATGTCACATCGTCATATAATTAATCTTGACTTCTAAATAAGTTACCATTTC